GCGGTGTAGACGCGGCTGTCTGTGTGCGTGCGCGCAGAAAACTTCTCACACAGCGCTCGACTGTTCCGCAAACAATCCCGAGCGTCTTTTATGCTCACCTTGTGCCTTGTATCAAGTCCTGATACGTGAGTTTGAGCGAGAATGCACGCGTTGGCGGTAATGCATAGACGGACATTATGTGAAAGTGTGGACAGTGCCAAAATAAGGGTGCCTATTTATACTACAGATATGATATCGATATTTTATGTGTGGCATCGATGCATCGTATCGTCAGACATCGTATCGATGTATCGATCCATATCGATGAATCGTTACACCCCTAACTTCAAGTAAAGAAATGGGTGCCAAAACAGTTATGTATGTATGTTTATTATGGGATCCCTGTAAAGCATTTTATAAGAATATTGATGATCGATAATTCAATGTTTTAATGTAGTAAAAATATCTATAAGCAAATGTAATGCTACTTTGGAAGAAATTATGGTTACCATGGTGATAGGATATTTAGTAAGCAACATTCACTCGACATGAACTCAACTTCAGTGCTTTTTCAAAATGTTTTCGCAAACATCCCAGAATATCCAACTTTGACCCAGACAGCATTGTGTTTCTTGCTGGATTTTACAAGACCTTTCAGATCGCTATCAACAACTGTTCCATCCTTCGAGGTCACCAAAATTTTCAACCAAATATCATTCTTTGGGTAAGATTCAGAGGATACAGTGACGAAGACCACCCGTTTCCCATGAAATCTGAGGCCCAACATGGCCAAAAACGAAACATCACCTCTGTCCCCGGAGGATTAGAACACACACACAAAACTCTTCATTTGACAGGGGTGACCTTTGGGACAGCAAAGGCAAAGAAAAGAATTGGGGCAGGAGGGAGATGTTATCCTGCTCTATTCAGAGAGACACTCTTTTTTAGATCAGACGCGGTTTAATCCGCGCCGTCATTCATATTAGCTGCTCTGAAGGGCAGATGAATGAAGGAGTGAATGGACAATTTGAGTTGAATTACTGAAATAAATGAACTTTTCCACGACATTCTAATTTATTGAGATGCACCTGTACATGCAAACACAGTGAGTGCGGATACATAATGTATGTGATTATATATCATGCTTATTTTAATATTATATACATATAAATGAAATATAAATTATTCATTTTGGTCAGCACAGACTTAATGTGACAGTAGAGATACTTTGTTACCAAAAATTACAATTGATGAACTTTCCATTCATCAAAGAATTAAAAAAAAATACAGAACTAAAAAAATATATATATTTCCACAAAAATATTAAGCAGCACTAACGTTTTCAAAATTGATAATAAAAAAATGTTTCTTGAGCACCAAATCAGAATATTGGAATGATTTCTGAAAGATCATGTGACAATGAAGACTGGAGTAATGAAAATTCAGCTTTGCCATTACAGGAATAAATTACATTTTTAAACATATTCAAATTGAAAACAGTTACTTTAAAATGTAATAATATTTCACAATATTTTTAATCAAATAAATGCAGCTTTGATGAGCTTAAGAGACTTCTTTTAAAAACCATTAACAAATCTTTCCTCTGACCATGATTATAAATGAATTATATTAATTTACATTTAATTTTAGGTTCGCATATTAAAAAAAAAAATGCAGTGGCAGCTTTGGTCTGACATTTTTGCCTGCAATTTTGCTATTTTAAAAGATCAAATAAAACTCTCACAAACTCATCCTCCTCTGTAGCACAAGGGTTTATGTGTAATATTAGCTAAAACACATGCATACTTCTGATATAGCTTATCATCATTGGCATACTACTTTCAAAATATGATTTAGGAGTCAGGACACACTACTCCTAATCTTGCATATTATACTACATAACATGGATAGCATGCAATTTGGGATTGAAAAAAAATTGTGAGGAAAAAAACACTTTGCTATTCAAACACATCAGGTGAGTTTTAACACTCAATAGCATTATGAGTAAAATACCCACACAGCTGAATGGCACCTTCGCCATCTTTCTTTCTTACAATCTCTCCCTCACTACACAGATCAGGCGTCAAAAAGCAGGACAGCTCTATAATATCATAGGCGTGTATATATTTATTTATGTCCCCGCGTAAATCCCTCCGTCCAGCTGAAATGGTTTTTGGAAGAAAAGAAGTAGATGCGGGTCATAAATCACAGCGAGCAGGCGCTGGGACGACTGTGACACCGAGGGCTGAGAGAGACACACAGATTTGAGATGCTTTATCACAGGAGGAGTGAGAAAAAGAGAGCTTCTGAATGAAAGGCAGGAAAAGGGCAGAAAGAAAGTGCTCTAAATTATCCCATGGTTCTGCAACCTTCCTTTTAACCTACACTAGCACATGAAGGACTTCCTATAGGTGTGCCGGTCTGTAGGGGATTTACTAGGCAAAAACTGTTCGGCCACAGTAGAGCAGGGAGAAACGGCAGACAAACGGCACAAAGACGCCCTTCCTGCAGCATTCAGCTTATTAAAATACCAGCACACATTTCTCAAACAGTCTTAATTCTTGCAAATCAAGACTAATGAAATATCGTCCCGCCAGCGTGGCATATTTAAGTCCAGTGTTTTACAGCCGGCCCGGATGAACTCAGATCTCTCTCTTAACAGACATGTGACTATCTGTCATCATTATGAGCACTCGCAGTCTAGCGGGGTGAAGAGGTTAAGCGTCCACTTCTGAAAAAAAACACATGTATGTTCATTTAGGAGCTGACGGCGTGTGTGACAGGCAGACAGAAATCAAAACAAATGAAGCAGTTATGAAGAAAAATGATAAGCGCTCATTTTCGGCGTTTTTAAAATGCGATCCATCAGCGAAGACGAGAGGCCAGGGGCTCCGAAATGAACTCGCATCGTCCCATTACCTGTTGGGATGGAAGGAAAAGGTGGAATTGGGGAAAAAAAAGAGAGGCTTTTGGATGGAGAAGATGAGCAGAGGTCTGATGCCAGGGTGAGAAAGGCAAAACAAAAAGATGAAGGGGTGAGAGAGAAGATGAGAGAATGATATATAGGTAATCCCAGATGCGGTAAAGATGTAACAGAGCTAAAAGTGGCCTGCCTGCAGTCTGGAGAGACACTTTAAATATGACGAGGGTTTGATAACCTGTGGCAGTACCAGACATAACTGTGTGTGTGTGTGTGTGTGTGTGGAGCTTTTCTTGTTGAGTGAGAAAACCATTAACTCTACGTTGATATTCTTTGCCGTTAAGCCATAGAATGACCTCTTTTAAAACAGAACATTTAGCTTAAATATTATGGCTGGTCTACTGCCGTTCACTTTGATTTCGTTGTAATAGCTATAATTGTGTTCTCTGAGACAGGTCAAGCTGTGCTTCAATAGGCAGTCAAACTTCATGGCCTTTTAAGAGGAGTTATTTCTTCTAAAGAGAAGCCTATTAGAGTCTAAGATCTTGCAGTGTATGATGGGGTTTTTCCAAGGAGACACGA